GGATTTTTTGGTATTGTTTGTGGGCTATATTGACCCAAGTTTTGGTATTGCTGCCATATAAAGTTACCGCACAATTTTCGATATTCAGCCGTTCCCGGTTTTCTAGACCATGCAAACAAAAATAGAAATTTTTTTGGTGTACATTCATGTTTTGATATAGCCCCATGTTCTAAATTGACCTAACTAAGGTGGCTATAATTTTTAATTCCTGAAGGTAGTGTGGTGCTAATCATCTTTGCGGAACATTTTTGATATATGTATATCTAAGTTTTGGGCCCTCCCCATAAAATTGCCCGCATATGAAGGTCCGACTTATGTTTATGGTTTTAAGGATTTTCCTCAATAAATGCTATCCAGCAGGTCTATAAAAACTTCATCCCATTCGATAAGAAAATCCGTTCATATCGTATCTTAAGATTCCCTCCATTTTGATTGGAGGAAGTGTTCTCGAGGACGTTTTTAAAGACTACCTCCAGTTCGTCTCCAAAGACGTTCTCCAACTTGTCTACAAAGCTTCCCCCCTTTTATATACTCACTCTCCAACTCGGCTATAATTATTCTCTTCAGGACCCCTATAAGAGCTCTCTCCAGCTCATCTAAAAAGCTTTTTCCATGTCGTCTTTAAAGACTCATTCCAAATAATCTACAAATATTCCACCCAGCTCGTTTACAATGTCCAGCTTATCTATAAAGACGCTCTCTAGCAGGTCTCCCTTCAGCTCGTCTATGAAAGACTGCCTTCAGCTCGTCTATGGAAGACTCCCTCCAGCTCGTCTATGAAAGACTGCCTTCAGTTCGTCTATGAAAAACTGCCTCGTCTATGAAAGACTCCCTTCAGCTCGTCTATGAAAGACTCCCTTCAGCTCGTCTATGAAAGACTCCCTTCAGCTCGTCTCTGAAAGACTTCCTTCAACTCGTCTATGAAAGACTCCCTTCAGCTCGTCTATGAAAGACTCCCATCAGCTCGTCTATGAAAGACTAACTTCAGCTCGTCTATGAAAAACTCGTCTATAAAAACTCCCCCTTATCTCATCTATAAAGACTCCTCTCAGATCGTCTATAAAGACTCCCATCAGATTGTCTATAAAGATACCCTTCAGATCGTCTAAAAATACTATCTCAAACTCGTCTCCAAATACTTTATTCAGCTCGTCCATAAAGGCTCCCTCCTGCTCGTATATAAATATTCCCTGCAGCGCGTATATAAAGACCCTCTCCAACTCTTCTATAAAAACTCCAGCTTGTCTATGAAGACTCCCTCCCTTGTCTATACAGACTCCCTCCACCACGTCTATAAAGACACCCTCTAGCTCGTCTATAAAGATTCCATCCAGCTCGTCCATAAAGACTCCATCCAGCTCTTTAAATCACCAACTTTTAAATCAGTGTAATGTGAATTCTTTTACTAATTTTTATTAAAAAAAAACATTTTCGTTTTCTTTCAGATACGTTTATTGTTACCTATTATCTGGACAATATTTGGGCTGGTATTATTACTGTGATGGCTATTTCAATGAACAGACTGGGAAATGTCAAAAAGAACGACCACCAAATTGCGCGGAACAGCAAAGAGCCGCAAAATTGTTGAATTATTTACAATACGAAGGTTTGTCAGCTGTACAGTAGTTCGTGGAACGATCGAAATAGGTTTTTGGAGGACAAGCCTTGACTAGTCCATGTAGTTTGTCTTCCGTAGCATAGCAAATTATAAAACTGCAAATGAACAAATAAATACTTAATATAAATAAATATTTAACATTTCAAGGCAAGGTATTTCCTTGAATAAAATGTTTTTAAACCTTTTAAATATTTATCAAACATACCTCACACAGGAGTCATCACACACCAGGGGGATGGGTCCTTCCGAGCCATTTTGTTGGCACAATTCATTGGCATTGATATCGGCACATAAGCCATAGATTTGTGGAATTACCAATAAGATAAGGCACTAAATTAAAAAAATATATATTTTACAATTTTAAAATTCCAAATAATAATTCCCAATACTTACCAAACTAAATGTTAATGTTTTCATTATTTTCGTTGATGTTTTTTCACAAAAGTCTTTAGCAAATATTAACAAAATTTGTCGAAAATCTGTCAATTTATATGAACGCAAAACATAAATAAATCATTCACCCTACCTAGATTTTCTATGGAACACTTCGATGTGATAAGATAAAAGGTCGCTATTAATACATAGCATATTCATTATAATGTGCCATATTTATTACAAGGGAACTCCTTCACATTAATCTTTATGGCTTTTATATTGTCTCAGTGAAAACGGTTTGCTACTCACTATAGAACGAAAATACAAAATTGCAGACAGTTCCAGCATGTTTATAAAGATTCCCTCCAGATCGTATGAAAAGACTTTCCCTATATAATTTCCAAACATTCCCTCCAGTTCGTCTGTAAATACCCTCTACAAATTATTTATATACCCACTCTCCAACTCGGCTATAATTATTCTCTTCAGGACCCCTATAAGAGCTCTCTCCAGCTCATCTAAAAAACTTTTTCCATGTCGTCTTTAAAGACTCATTCCAAGTTATCTACAAATATTCCACCCAGCTCGTTTACAATGTCCCGCTTATCTATAAAGACGCTCTCTAGCAGGCCTCCCTTCAGCTCGTCTATAAAGACTCCCTTCAGCTCGTCTATAAAGACTCCCTTCAGCTCGTCTATAAAGACTCCCTTCAGCTCGTCTATAAAGACTCCCTTCAGCTCGTATATAAAGACTCCCTTCAGCTCGTCTATAAAGACTCACTTCAGCTCGTCTATAAAGACTCACTTCAGCTCGTCTATAAAGACTCACTTCAGCTCGACTATAAGACTCACTTCAGCTCGTATATAAAGACTCACTTCAGCTCGTCTATAAAGACTCACTTCAGCTCGTCTATAAAGACTCACTTCAGCTCGTCTATATAGACTCACTTCAGCTCGTCTATAAAGACTCACTTCAGCTCGTCTATAAAGACTCACTTCAGCTCGTCTATAAAGACTCACTTCAGCTCGTCTATAAAGACTCACTTCAGCTCGTCTATAAAGACTCACTTCAGCTCGTCTATAAAGACTCACTTCAGCTCGTCTATAAAGACTCACTTCAGCTCGTCTATAAAGACTCACTTCAGCTCGTCTATAAAGACTCACTTCAGCTCGTCTATAAAGACTCACTTCAGCTCGTCTATAAAGACTCACTTCAGCTCGTCTATAAAGACTCACTTCAGCTCGTCTATAAAGACTCACTTCAGCTCGTCTATAAAGACTCACTTCAGCTCGTCTATAAAGACTCACTTCAGCTCGTCTATAAAGACTCACTTCAGCTCGTCTATAAAGACTCACTTCAGCTCGTCTATAAAGACTCACTTCAGCTCGTCTATAAAGACTCACTTCAGCTCGTCTATAAAGACTCACTTCAGCTCGTCTATAAAGACTCACTTCAGCTCGTCTATAAAGACTCACTTCAGCTCGTCTATAAAGACTCACTTCAGCTCGTCTATAAAGACTCACTTCAGCTCGTCTATAAAGACTCACTTCAGCTCGTCTATAAAGACTCACTTCAGCTCGTCTATAAAGACTCACTTCAGCTCGTCTATAAAGACTCACTTCAGCTCGTCTATAAAGACTCACTTCAGCTCGACTATAAGACTCACTTCAGCTCGTCTATAAAGACTCACTTCAGCTCGTCTATAAAGACTCACTTCAGCTCGTCTATAAAGACTCACTTCAGCTCGTCTATAAAGACTCACTTCAGCTCGTCTATAAAGACTCACTTCAGCTCGTCTATAAAGACTCACTTCAGCTCGTCTATAAAGACTCACTTCAGCTCGTCTATAAAGACTCACTTCAGCTCGTCTATAAAGACTCACTTCAGCTCGTCTATAAAGACTCACTTCAGCTCGACTATAAAGACTCACTTCAGCTCGTCTATAAAGACTCACTTCAGCTCGTCTATAAAGACTCACTTCAGCTCGTCTATAAAGACTCACTTCAGGTCGTCTATAAAGACTCACTTCAGGTCGTCTATAAAGACTCACTTCAGGTCGTCTATAAAGACTCACTTCAGCTCGTCTATAAAGACTCACTTCAGCTCGTCTATAAAGACTCACTTCAGCTCGTCTATAAAGACTCACTTCAGCTCGACTATAAGACTCACTTCAGCTCGTCTATAAAGACTCACTTCAGCTCGTCTATAAAGACTCACTTCAGGTCGTCTATAAAGACTCACTTCAGGTCGTCTATAAAGACTCACTTCAGGTCGTCTATAAAGACTCACTTCAGGTCGTCTATAAAGACTCACTTCAGCTCGTCTATAAAGACTCACTTCAGCTCGTCTATAAAGACTCACTTCAGCTCGTCTATAAAGACTCACTTCAGCTCGACTATAAGACTCACTTCAGCTCGTCTATAAAGACTCACTTCAGCTCGTCTATAAAGACTCACTTCAGGTCGTCTATAAAGACTCACTTCAGGTCGTCTATAAAGACTCACTTCAGGTCGTCTATAAAGACTCACTTCAGGTCGTCTATAAAGACTCACTTCAGCTCATCTATGAAATACTCCCATCAGCTCGTCTATCAAAGACTCCCATCAGCTCGTCTATGAAAGACTCCCATCAGCTCGTCTATGAAAGACTCACATCAGCTCGTCTATGAAAGACTCCCATCAGCTCTTCTATGAAAGATTCCCATCAGTTCGTCTATGAAAGACTCCCATCAACTCGTCTATGAAAGACTCCCATCAGCTCGTCTATGAAAGACAGACTTCAGCTCTTCTATAAAGACTCACTTGGCATCTGTAAGGACTCGCCCTCCTGTCCTTCTATTTTTTTCAGATAGTATATTTATCAATATACTGAAACAAAGTATTTGCACAATGAAAGTATCTATATTTTATTATCATATTAGAAAAATATATATTGAGTAAATAATATAAAGTTTTATATTCTGGACTTCAGGCGAAAATCCAAGAATATATATAGAAACCTCTCCATTTTAAATTAAAATTGGAGCAGAATAACGGGCAGGAGCGGCCACAATTTTAGCCGGAGCAGGAGCTATGGCTGGGGCAATTGCACGAGCTGGTGCAGGGATATAAGTGGCGGATGGTGCTACTAGTCTAGCAGGGGCACTGATAATGGGAGCATTGTATTTATTGATAATATCCACGCGTTGACTAGAATAGGCCGAGTTTAAAGGAGCTGTAAAAGCAGCCGCATAGGGTGCTGTGTAGGCAGCTGCATAGGGAGCTGTATATGCCGCAGCATATGGAGCAGGATAAGCAGCAGCTATGGGGGCAGTATACGCTGCAGCAATGGGTGCTGTGTAAGCTGCTGCAATTGGAGCAGAATAAGCAGCAGCGTAAGGTGCAGCATAAGCGGCAGCGGCCAATGGTGCTGCATAAGCAGCCGGCAAAGGAGCAGTATAGGCAGCAGCAATTGGTGCTGCTGTGTAAGCGGCAGCTGCTGGCACTGCTGGTACTGCAGGAACTGGTGCTGTAGCCACATGAGCATGATGACCGGGTTCAGCAACAGCTAAAGCCAGAACAGCAAGGAATACAAGGACCTTTTGACAAAATAAAATTAAAAATATTTATTTTCTTAGAAATATTTCAATCACGATAAATGAATGACTTCTTTACCAATTTCTGCATTTTGTTTTTGTTGAAAATTTGTGCCTGAATCTGATGGCAAAATTTGTTGTTTTTTGTTAACTGATTGTAAGCGTTGTGCATAACAATTGATCAACAAATTGCAATTTATATAGGCCTGAGTTTTGTTTCCATTGTTGGCACTGTGCCTTGCAGACATTTTGGCCAGCTCTAGAGCGTCATGGTTAATGGTGTCTTACTTTTAGTATTATTCAATTCACTTTAATTTTGTTTTGTTTTTGCATTTCTGTTTTGTAGGTCACCTTCGGACATTATAATTTGTACATA